GCCTCCTGCTCCCGGCCCACTGGAGCTAGAGGCATTTCTTCACTCAGACAGCTGCTGGCTGCTGAGGCTGAGAAGCCCCAAGGTTGACAAGTGAAAAGGCACAGTCCCGATGTTACCAATCCATACAGCAGGCCATTAACTTAAGTCCACTGTAAGTCCCAAGGTCAGCAGAGCATAGCAGCCTGCTGAGCAATGACATGGCTACGTGCAGGGTCCAAGCATGCCAAAGGCTAGAGACCATTCTCAAAGCTTCTCCTTATATACAGGAAGCAGACCACATACCCAAAGGCAGCTACTCAGCTTCTCCCAGTAGATTCCACCATGGAGTTGATTACCAGTCTCATTATGGGGAATACTACATCCAGCTGCCCAGCCACTCAACCAGGCCTAGCCAAGTTGACACACAAACAAAACCACCACACCTTTTGAAATTGTTCTAGGGTTTTCTCTGTGTTTTCCTTGATCTGTCTCTCAATTTATGAAGATACCTAAATATAATTATTTTGAATTCCTTATCGGGGATTTCCAATGCTGTGTCTTCCTCAGGGATGTGTTTTGGGTCTATATGCTGGCCCCTTGTTTATCCTGCTTTATCTTGCTTCTTGTGTGTGGACTGTGATGCTCTGTTGTCTCCAAGGCTTTGTGACATTTTTGGGTTTATATTTAGTTGGTGATTGTATGTTGGAGTGACTTGCCTACGATTTTCATTTTCTTTGTTTTTTTTTTTTTATATTATCTACACAAGCAGGGTACTGTGCTGTGCTCCTCTGTTCACTAGTTGACAGCACTTACACACTCACCACCTGTCTCCTTTACGGTTGTCAGCCTCTGGTATGTCCCTGCTGACCTTGGCAAACAGAGCCTATTCTTGGGTCCCTGGAATCCGAATGAGAATGCTATCACTTTAAAATCCAAAACGGTTGCCACTTACAAAGATTCAAAATGGCTGTGCCCTGGGTCACTTTAAATATCCAAAATGGCCACCACTTGTAAACATTCAAAATGGCTATGCCCTGAGTCACTGTAAATATCCAAAATGGCTGCCTCTTATAAACATTCAAAATGGCTGCACCCTCAGTCACTTTAAATATCCAAAATGGCTGTGCCTTCTGGACAGCAGAAAGTCAACAGCTCGGGTTGTCTCCCTACTTGCTGTTTCCCTTCCTAGTCATAGGCCATCAGCGCAGTCATCCCTGTAGCCTTTGGTGACCAGGTCTGATCTTTAGGTCAATTCTCAGGTCCCAACACCACTTGGAAATATTCAGGCTATTGGTCCCATCAGAGTAGCTGACAGTCCACAGCTCCGACCATCTTTGTACTCACTGTTTTCGTTCAGGTTTTTCCACTAGTTGGTGCCTAGTCTGCTTCTATGTAGTTCCTTTCAAAGCTCAGGGCTCCAGGAATATCTTCTGTATCTCTGTCAATTGGTTTTTGTTTTCTTTGTTGAAGAGGATCTGTGTCACTTGTCTGCCTATTCCCCCATCTTACGGGAAGTTCCTGAGACTGGTTTAAGAGAAAGGATGAATTGACATATTCACTTTTCTGGGAAGTTTAAGGTGTGAGAGAGCTTCAGTTCAGGCATGGCAAAATCCAGGTGTTCAAATCATAGTGTCAGGAAATTTTCTCTTGGCTCTCTTCTTGTCTGCCTCGGCACAGTTCCCAGGCAGACTCTCCCCAAGCAGTAGCAACATGGCTTCTAGTAACTCCAGTGCCCCTTTCCCAAGAGTAGCTGCAAAAAGCCTGGATCTGATGCTCATTGTCACAGCTTGGCTCAAGAGCGTTTCCCTGAACCAATTGCTGCAGATAGAATGACTCTCTGATTGGTCGCCTCTGGAGCTGGAGGGCAGAGCCTGCTTCTCTCCTATACCAGGGGCTGAAGGTGAGGTGGTCCCTTAAGGACAGTTGGTTTGTGGAAGAAGGTTGGGAATGGAAATTGGTCATGCCAAACGCTTTATATCTGTGTGATGATCTCCCGATGATTGCAGAGCTTTGCTTGTGTATAAAGCAGGTTCTCATTCGTTATCGTGTGTGAGCCTTACAACCACTGTCTGTTGTGTGTGAGTTAAGACATGTTTGTCTGCTTTGCAGACACCGCAGATGACCATGGTGCTGTAAGTTAGTTAGAGGTGCACCTCTCTGTCATATGCATGTATTCAATCTAGAGCTGGTATAGGGGCTCTGGTGGCAGGGCTCAGGGCCTCTTCTCAGTCCCTCTTCTACATCTGCAGTGTGTGACCCTCACTTACATGGTTTAAAATAGTGGTGACACAGTGGTTAAGTACTCAGTTGGCACTTTGAACACACCCACAGCTGTGATCTGCTCCCATAAAGATTACCTGTTACCTTTGAGTTGATTCAACTCATCGCAACCCTGGAGGACAGAGTAGAATTGCCCCATAGGATTTCCAAGCCTGTAAACTTTACGGAAACAGACTGCCACATCTTTCTCCCACAGAACAGCTTGTGGGTTCGAACTGCCAACCTTTCAGTTAGCACTTGAGCACTTACCCACTGTGCTATCAGGACTTCTCCCATAAAGATTACAGCCTGGAAAACCCATTGGGGACAGTTCTACTCTGTCACGTGGGTCACTGTGAGTTGAAATCGACTCAGAACCACCCAACAAAGACAACAAGATTCCAACATAAAACATCCACATTCCAGGCAGTGAAGTAGAGTAGAGGAAGAGGGTTGTAAAGGAAGGCATACATCCCCTTCTTTTAAGGGCAAGACCAGGAAACTGTGCACATCTTTGCTACTTGTATCTCATTGGCCAGCACTTAGTCACAGGCCACACCTACCTGCAAGGGAGGCTGGGAAATGTAGGCTTTATTCTGGGCAGCTGTGTAAGGAGGGAGCTCTGGTGGCATAGTGCCTAAGACATTTGACTACTAACCAGAAGGCTGGCAGTTCAAACCCACCAGCCACACCTCAGAGGGAAGACTGGGCAATCTACTTCTGAAGAAATACCACCTCACAAACCCAAGGAGGAGTTGCTATGGGTTGGAAACGACTCCATGACAGTGAGTTTAGTTTTTTTTTGGTATGTGTGGTAGGCTGAATAATGACTCCCAAAGATGTCCATGTCCTAATCCTTAGAACCTGTGAATGTCACTTTATACAAATGTCATCTTATAAAAGCACTTTGCAGATAGGAATAATTTAAGGATCTTGAGATGGGGAGTTATCCCAGGTTACCTTGTTGGACAAGGTAATCAGAAGGTTACTTATAAGTTGGAGGCAGGAGAAGTTCAGAGTCAGAGAAGGGGATATGGTGCCAGAAGCAAGGATTGGAGTGATGCACTTTGAAGATGGAGGAAGGGCCCATAAGCCAAGGAGTAGAGGCAGCCTCTAGGAGCTGGAAGAGGCAAGGCCAAGGAGTCTGCCTAGAGACTCTGCAGACACCTTGATTTTAGCCCAGTAGACTCATTTCACACTTCCATCTTTCAGAACTGTAAGAAAGTAGATTTGTGTTGCCTTCAGCCACTAAGTTTGTGGTCATTTGTTATGGCACCTGTAGGAGATGAACACTGTATGACCAACTAGAAATTCTTTTGTTGGGGAAGAAGAGTAATTGGGAGACAGCTCCTAGCCTTTGTCATGGGTGACTTTGATGACTATGAGTCAGATCCAACTTGATGGCAGTGAGTTGAGTGAGTTCTCTGAGGAATAAATGGAAAAAATGTGAGATTTTAAAAAAAGCTTCTATATTGCCTTGTAGCATACGTGCAGTAAATGCACCCATAGCATGATGGATTTGTACATGTGTGCATACCCCATGTAAGCATTCGAGGACGAGGTTTAGAACATTCCCATCATCCCATAAGGTTCCCTCAGACCCTTCCCAGCCACGTCCCTCTCTGCCTCCGGACATGACCACTGTGCTGATTGCTAGTTTCTCTCCCCATAGATTTTTCCTCTTCTAGAATTTCTAATGAATGGCATCATACCGCATTCTTTGGTGTCTGGCTTCCTTCGCTCAACATAATGTCCGTGCGCTTCATCCATGTTGGAGCCCGTGGCGTTGGTTTTGAGAACGTCGTTTTATTCTGAGTGGGATGGGAAGCCAGCGGAGGATATGGGGAGAGGAATGACTAGTTCATTTCGAAGCCACCCCCTTGGCTGTGTGAGGGTGACAGCAGGGAGACCAGGGAGAGGCTATTGCA